TGGAACGTGTGTGTCAAGTATATATAAATTTGACGTCGAAGAACGTTAAGTTCGTTCGGTCAAACTTTTAAAACCATTTGAAAAATTCGAAAAAGTTCAGTTCCGCATTTCTATTTTTTATATACAAGTAGCAAATATGTACCAAAATGTGTTACAGGATATACCTTCCATAGGGGATAACCAAAATTTAAATAGGAACGAAGTAAATGTGAATCTATAATGAAAAAATCAATCTATCATATGGTTTGTTCCCTTACTGCAAGAATCTAATAATTTTTACTATTTTCTTCGATATCATAAAGGAAAATTTGTTATCGTAGTAAAAAATTGTACATTCTTGCAGGTTCTGGAACAGACTAATAAATAGTATATTTGTCACTCGTTTCAAGTCCGACAAAAACAAACAAGTCAAACATATATTTTTGACAAAGGCTCAGTTTATTCTCTAAAAATTATCTTATGAGTTTTATGTTATAAACAATGTGAAATATTTCTTACTCGGTCGGTCATTATGGCATAAAACGAGAGACAATTAATTAAACGGCTTACGCGACAAGACTGACTCTCTAAAATGGGAAATCAAGCATTACATTGCATTTTTACATATTTCATTAGACCTTTTGGCTTACAGTTATTATTTTAAACAATTTTCTTACATACGAATGTCACTACAATAAACAATTACAGACTAAACGACGTTGCCAGAATCAGCAATATTATAGACCACATAATAAGTAAGATTCGTTACAAGCCGCGCATTTTAATAATACGCATAAAAAGACATGTCAGCCAATTCCAATTTCTATCGTCTATTTTTATAAAATTCGAATTCAAAAATATAAAATAGAGAAATTCCTAAAACTGGAAAAAATGTTCGCTTATGATAAGTTCGGATAACTGAAATTATTTTCATTTAAGCGAACTCCGCTTATGTGAAAACATCGGATAACTGAAACAAACATCCAGATTTTTTTTCCGTTTCAGTAAAACGGAGTCGACTGTATTTATTCTGAACAACAATTTACCTCCCTAATAATGCCATCTACCGACGAGCGTTGTTCGCTCTCTCATTCGTTGTTCGACCCTTAATTATGAAGTAATTACTTAGTTCCCCATACAAAATTTTCTGAGCAAACACCGACTTTTGTACGTTTTTCAATTCGAATCACTCTCTGAATAACCAAAAAATTGTCCATCCCAAACAATTGAGAGTATTAATCGAAAATAAATTAATTAATTTTTTAAAATTTTCAAACTTTTTCAGTAAAATTAAAAATGATGAATGAAAAGTAAAAAATTTTATAGTTTTTATATATGCAGCAAGATGTAAATTTTGTATTCTACATAATGCAATATGCATTTCTTTTCCCTTGGTTCTAATTAGCGCACAAAACAAGAAACAAATGTTGAGCAACTCAAATAAAAAATTCTCCAAATTTTTATATGTGACAGTATGTGACATTTGAATTGAGAAACTATAAAAATGTTTTTAATACAACAACAACAACAACATTTTCAGAAAAATGGAAAACATGAATGAGAAAGAGAATTATTTTTTCTATTTAGATCCCTATGTAATTCACTAAAATGTGTTACATTTTTGGTGTAAAACAAGAAACAAAAAGTTTGAAATAAAAAACTCTGATGACATGAATTATGAATAGTGTTGTATGGACGGGTTAATTCACGTACGTAATTCTGAAAGCGAACTACGTTGTTCGGATGACCGTCAGAACATGGCATAACAAATTGTTACAATATTGAAAAATAATAAACCACCGACAATAGCATGATTTGATTCCAATGTAATACTAGTGTAAATATGAATTTGACAAATTATGTTTTTAAAAATCACCCAACAGGAAAATTGGGAACGCATACAATTCAAAATTGTTCTTTATTAAATGTGCTCCATTGAATAACTCTCATTTTACTTTCATATGTGTTACACATATAAGTCTGCCAATTGTGTTGGGAAAGTTTGAGGAAGCAAATCTTTCTTCATTGAATAACTCTCAATTCTCTGCACTTTCATATGTGTTATTCAAATTTAATTTTGAGGATTCGAAAATATTTTCTTTTCAAAACAAATATAATTTATTTGTTTGTTTACATTTTTCTGTCAAATGACGTTGACACTAGTATAACTTACAAAAACAAATTTCCATGTGGTTGTTGTATCATTTGTTGTACAACAACACTTGCTGTTACCTTCTTGTTTGAAAGGAAAAATTGTACTCTTCGAAAGAAAAAAAGAATAGTATAAAGCCGTTATAAAGTAAATAAGATAAAGTTTCAAATGGAAAATCCATATTATTATAGTGTTATACCATGCGACAATAGTTAGGCTTTGCCCTTAATATTTTCCACAAACATAAAAAGGATGCAAATATGGGACTTGATTCCGACAAAAAAAAAGTGTTACAGGTTGAGGGTGTCTATCTGTTTTATAGAATCTGTTACAATTGTAAAAATATTCTTAAATTTGAGGATGAAACGATCAAATTTGTTTTTATTTAAATTCTGTCACCTATATTTAGAACTTACAGACAAAATTAAAATATAATTATGTTTAATTATCATAATTATTCGCTTTGATTTGACCGATATCGTCTAGGGATAATTCAATCGACTTTTGACTGATCGAATAATCAACTTTTTGTATTGAAGAAATCTTTGAAGAAATTGCAAAGTACACTTTTCAAGATAGACTATCGATTTTCTTCATAAATACTTGGTTTGTTATCACAAAGCCCAAATTGCCCTTTCCAGAACTTTATTTTATATGTTGACAACAATTCACTTACTCGAGGGTTTATACAAGCAACTTTTGTATTGAATACATCATTGCAATGTTAAAATTTTAGTTAAGTTCTGATTGTAAACGTGTGGGAACAATTTTTTAGCACTTCGTTTTGCTCCAGTATAAAGAATTTAAGTGGTCCGCTATTTTCTACAACATTATGGTTCATTTTCGATATCGGATATACTAATTATAGAACACATATCTGAGTCAAATCTTGAACTCCATAAGTTCCACATGAAATCAAATCGATTCTATTTTTAGTCGCACGATCCAAAACACTATCTTTCTGTCAACGTGTATTAATAATATAAATAGTGTACATTTGTATTTTACCCTCACTAAGTGACAACATTTCACATATTTAGAATCTTCAACAAATCCGACATCTCTATTTCCAAACGATGACAATGGTGCTGTGCAAATGTTCATGTTCATTCACAAGTTTTATTCTTTTGCAAAGGACACTGTCACGATTGTTGGGCTTTCACTTTCTAGTGGAATTTCAAGTGAATGAGAGTCCTTCATTTTAACAGCTATATGCACGCATACTCATGCCATATAAACTGAAACACACACACACACGTACGTACATATTTACATATATCCGTTAAAAAGTTATATATTTAATTTCCTAACCACAAAGATGACTTCCGCCAAATGTTGAAAGGCGGACCAAAAGTAAATTACCTCTTTCGCTTCGTGTACTTGTGTGTGTTTGTGTCTGGGCAAGTATGTATATGTGAATACATGGTTATCTATTTTATTACTGAGTACTTTAGTAAGCTAATTAAATAATGTAGGAAAATGACTTGAAGTATAATACGCTAGTATGTAAATATGTATTTTTATACAAATTTAAATTATTTTTTGGACAAGATGCCCGTATAGCAGTTGAAGAAAATCCTTTTTTGTTGGCATTAAATGGATTTCATTAAAAAAATAACATATTATTTGTTCGTACATACACACAAATGTATATTTTAAGGGCTTGCATGTGCTTTTATGTAGGTTTTTTTTTGCAAATTGACACCATGTGCTTCGCAAGCCTACCAAGAATGTATGTATGTGTTTACATATTCGTGTTGGTTTGTATATATGTATTTTTTATATATGTGATTGTATGTTTGTATACTTGTGTGTTTTATGCACAAATGTTTGTATCAAAATTTACACTTGACCCACCTTTAATATACTACTGCTTCTTCTAGTTCCTTTTTCCGCAATCTTTATCTTCTCCTCCGTTTGCGTTGTTCTTGCTTTTCTTCTTTCAACAGAAGCAAGCAAACAAACAAAAAAACAAGTCACAAAAATACAAAAAAGAGTTTTGTGATTTCCTGATTTTCTCTTGTAAACTGGAACACGTTGTCACGAATACATTTATGTATGTTGGTTTGTATGTATGTTTTTACAAATGTTGCCGTTGGATGTACGCTTCTCTGCTTTCACGTTTCCGTTTTGGCGTTTTTCGTTTGGTTGGCGTTGAAACCAAATGAACAAATTCTTTACTTTATTTATTTAGGTATATGAACACGGATGTACATAGGTATGTATGTAGGTATTTATATAAATATTTTTGTTTTATTTACTGATATCGTTGTTGTTGTTGTTGTTGTTTTTATTTATTATTTTCTTCATTTAAATTTTAAACTGTTTTATACAATAATGAACTTTGAACTGTACACAGTACACACACTCACAACAATACATATACACATTTATTTATATATACAAAAAGGATACACTACTGAAGGAATTGAATACACGTGTGTCATATGTTTTCTCTCATGGAGAACAGGAAAACAAATCATACACCACCATCACACAATTACAATGGCAGTCAGCAGCTTTTATGTCATTGAACAAAGAGCGAACGAACGAACGGACGAGGCTGGCGAGAGAGTGAGAGCAGTGTGCCACCGTTTTGTTTATATCCATAGACGAGTATGTATGGATGTGCGACGCTGTGATGTGACAAAGAGTTGCGTTTCATACGACGACTCGTTGCTTTCGATGTTTACTACTACTACGATGGTTTGCCGTTGTTGTTGTCGTTTCAGTTAGTGTTTTGTAGGGGGACGGAAGGAACGAACATTGACAGCAACAACAGCAGCAGCAAAGGCAGATGTCAAAAACAAAACCGTACGTAGAATAATGTAAGGAAATCAAATGGAATTAAATTGTGTGTTCTCGCACGATGGGTTATGGCGCTCCGTATTACAGCAATGCGTTGGCAGCAGTAGCAGCAGCGACGCGACGGCAGACAGCATACACATTAATAACAATAATGTACTATTATCAGAACCAGACCTGCTGTTTTTGACAGATTCTACAACACCTTCTCGGAGACATTGTCACAGTTGTTATTGCTGTTACCGTTACTGCACCAAAGAGAAGGAGATGTGCACAGGCAATTTGCGAAATGATGATGGCGCGGCTGCGACAATCGTGTCGTTATACGAAGAGGGGAAGAAAGTGGGTGGCAAATTTATGCTTTTTCATTCATAGTCTTCATTACTAGCACACACACACTCATACATATATATACTATTGCACGCAAGCAGGCACCCTCTGCACATTATACAATCAATGCCATCACAATGATACTGTGTGGCATCAACACCACCACCATTATTATTATCACTCACGACACGACTTTTGTAAGCTTTTTTAGCTCTTGGACGAACTACGTTTCTCTCAGATGGTATTTAACGCTATTTTACTCTCTCTCTCTCTCTCTCACACTCTCTTTCTCTGTAACTTTCAGTTTGTATTTATCTCACCCTGACCCATCAGCAAACTAAAGAAACAGTTTGTCTAGCGTATTGTCCGTTTGTGTTTTCTTCACTTGCGGCCATCAAACGATGCGTGTGTGTATGTGTGAGTTTGCAAGTGCGTGTTTAAGATTTCATGGCATATTTTTAGGAGCGACACTTTAATATATCACTTTTTTTCTAATTTTGACCATCACAAACTACCAAGCGCATAATTCGCTTCCTCTTTTGGATTTTCTCTTGTTCCTTGTGTTCGTTCGTAGTTGTCGTCGTAGTCGTTAGTTGTATTTTTGTTATTAGCGTTTATTCCTTTTGCATTCGTAGGAAATCACTTTCACTTTTATTGTTCGTGGGAACTCGATTTAAATACAAAACGTATTATTTGGTCGTTGTTTGGTATTGTTATTACTGTTGTTTTTGTTGTTGTTGCTGTTGTTCTTCTCAGCATTAGTTAGTAATTAAATTATTTAATTGGAAGTATTGAAATTTTAAGAACTCAAACCTACATACCGATTCACAAAAAGTAGGAAACTAGATTTTCGGTTTTATTTCCTCAATATTTCTTGACTTGTCAGAAATGAAATTTCCTCTTTCCTTTCTTTACTTTTTTCACTTCAATATTCAGACGCACACATGCACAAAACCCGTTGTACAGATGAGATGGTACGTTTCCTTGTATGTACGTCCGTATATTATACAATATTGAACTCCTACAAGATTTCACTGTAGTAAGTTGAGAAGAAAAGAACGAGCACAAGGACTGAATATGTATTTTCGTTTTCTTTTTTTTAATTTGCTGCGTGAGTGTGTGTTTCACTATTTGCCTTTCTTTTTTATTTTGTTAAATTTGTGAAACTTTTACATTATATTTCATTATTTATCACAACTTTTGTAATTCATTAGCAATTGGAGAAGGGAAAAATCATTACATCCAAAAGTTAGCAACACTTTTTTCCACGCACACACAAACACACTAACAACAGCAGCATTTAGCAATTAATGGCAGCAAATCTTTATTTACCGCAGCGTACCAAATCGTCAACGACCACAACGCACGGACAGCACCACTATACTCATCGGGCTTTATCTATTTGACGCTTAGTTTTGCACCATCTGAATGGTAATTTTTGTAACATAAAGCTTTGGTGATTATTTTTCTCCGAATAGAGAGCTTTTAAAAGGCCTCTCTCTCTGTCTCTATTGCATATTCACCACACCATAGATGCAGGATGTAACGGAATTTAATAATACAAATAGTAAAGTTATTTGAATAAGCATTTTTATTTCAAATTTACTAAAATACCCAATTTGGAATAATAATTTCTAAATGGTATATTAAAGAAAAAGAATTCTGAAAATAAAAATAAAAAACGTTTGCATGGTGAATGAGGAGGTAACCAAAGGATAACATGAAATTACGATAGCTCAGCGATCATAACCGTCGTTTAACTGGATCTGATGAATGACTTATCATGGCATGTCGTAATTTCATTGAAGTCAGATCACCTCTCCATTATCATATACAACTACTGACAACTGATCTCGCAGAAGTTCAAAGATTGTGGCTTCAGTGAACTGTCCAATCCTTATGATAATCGGGTAGTAGAAAGGAATTTCCGTGACATCATTACATCTGCAGCCGCTTGCTATATATCTGTTGGTTGAATATCTGAACATAAGAGGATAATGTGACCAGAAAATCTGAAGTGCTGCAACATTGTTGTCGGCTCTCGAGCATAGTTAAGAACACCCCTACAATTATAGGTCGAAGATAAAGCTATTGCGTCGTGAAGTATCTAACCAAGGTTCTCGATTTATCGTTAGCCGCACTAGTAGTTCCCAAAGGTGATTCCTGTAGATTTCACTTTTGTCGACAGTAGTCGACAGACTTTTGAGACATTTCAATTCAGTTGAAAAAGAAATCAAAGAGGTGATATTTTGGAATTGCACAATCTCTACCTCTTTCGTATTCCACGGCATTGAGATTATTAGAAGGGGATAACGGTTACCATTGAATATGCGTTCATCCAAATCACCATCTATTTGATAGGCATCCACTAAACATCCATGTTAACACAAAAGTGAGTCTTTATATCAACAGGATAACATTTTATTGATACTAAAGTGGGGAACACATTGAAACTTTTTACCGGTTTTACCTACTTCATGAGGATTTATTTGACATATCATCAATGGAATTGACAATTTCAATCCACTGGGTTAACGAAATCGCGTACAATGTAAACGTAATATTACACAGCTAAGTTAAAGGAGCAATGATTACAACAAAAATTTCGATACATGGCCCTCCTTTTCTTTCGTGATTTTTATAATACACCTCAAGGAATTTAACACCGATAATAAATTTTAATCCGTAGAGCATGAGTTCTATATATGTTGCATAGTGATATCAACTGCTGTGATCCACAACATCAAACTTTTACTTTTATTCAATTTCGATTTTCCGTTATAAATTTTAAATGTTTTAACCGTCACAATGTTTGGTATACATTTCATTATCTCCTTCTCATGATTGAATACATTGAATCCAAATCAAATGTTCTAATGAACTGAATTTATTGCATTTGTTAGTTCTCATTTCTCTCATATATCTCTGTTGAAACTGATAACGATTTAAACAAGAACAAATAAAATTGAAGACAATATACCATTTGGCCACCTCTCTTTGATTCTCTCACTGCAAGTGTTTTCACTATCGCCGGTATGATTGTCTTCAGTCAGCATTTGCAGTTCAGTTAAAGAATTTCCTCGCTATAAAACAGACGTCTTGACATCGCCCACAACTTGAGTGAAATAGAAAAAAAAAACAAACAAATAAACAATAATTAATCGAAATAAAGAATGAATTAAAAATCAAAATACAAAAAAGAAATAGAAACAGAAATAAAATATGGAAAAGTAAATATTTCAGAGTGATTAAGTTTTAACCGATCCATTGCTTAAACGAGCTCGTATTGCATCTTCTTCTTTTGTAGAATATGGAATGAATTGAAATATTTCCTCAAAGCGCTGTTGTGTTTTTTGACCGCTTGTCTTTTGGTACCGCTTTTACTTATTCTATTTGTTTGTAAGTATTCGTCTATCTAAAATAAGGGATTTCAAACTGAATAGAGAGAAAATTTGAATTGTGGCAAATTACTAAATAAAAATTGAATTATGTCATATATTGTACTGTCTTAATGTTTGATCGCGTATTTATTTTCTTTATCCAATTCTTTTTGCATACGGTGCGTATGCGCAATGAAATATCCAACATAGTAAATATTTGCCCACCTACATAATTCATGTTAGAAGACTCATTATTACTCCTTCAAACATATGTATGTCCCTTATCTGTTATAGAAGAAAACAAAATCGCTAGCATTTGAAAAAAGAATTAACTGCAAAATATTTGCAAACAAATGATTTATTATTCAAATTTCAAAACAATGTTATAGGATGCAGACGTTCCGAATAGATGATTGCACTTATCTCATATATATGTATTTTAAATCATTTCTTAAAAAGTTCATATACTATGTACAATTCGCTACGTTTATTCCAATCAATATGGGTCATTTATATGGTATTTCACAATAAGGGCACTCACATACGCCCAGCACAAATTCAGACATCACAGTTGGTCCCATCACAAGATTCACTCACATATCGATTTTTGCAACGCCACATAATTTATTTTTTAAATGTATTAACACCCAATCAAAGTTCATATCAGTGACAGACTTCGTAGATTTATTGTTTTTTGAAAATCCGCGTACCTGCTTTGCAATCGAAACAATGATGTCGATGATGAGTTGTTAAGACCGAAACAATAACAAAAGTCCATAATTTTTAATCTTTGCCCCCAGCCGTTGTTACTCATAGTGTTAGGGGGTCTGATAAGCCTCTACAATTCTGGCACCTTACGATTTTTTATATTATACTTTTATCTACAATAGACGATAATAGTTGCAGCAATTCCTCAAAACCATAGTAATCGAACCAAAAGTGCACAAATAATATACATTTTATTTATAATTATTATTATGTTATGGAAATTTATTAAAAACTTAAAGATGGGAAACCCAGTTTTTTTTAATTTATTTTACTGATTATCTATCGTTGAAATATTTATAATTCAGGATTTTAAAACATAAGATCCAAGAGATCATAAGGACTACAAAATAGACACCGTTTTGATCTGGCTCTGGAATTAAATAAATACTAAAGAAAGTTAATTATTTATCACCCGTTTCAGTACCAACAGACAATAATATATAAATTTGTATACTTCTCTACCATATGGTTGGAATATTCGACGGAGACTCGTTGAAGTAAAATTTATAATGTTAAAAATACAGTCTTTATAAAAAACTTCGTTATATTTTTTAGCCTAAGTAGAATACTTCAATACCAGAACTGGTAAAGCGTTATACATTTGTATATACATAAATCGCCTTCTAGATTAAAATATTCGGTACTTTTTAGTAAACATTGCAGTAACTCATCCATTAAAAGACAGTAATAAGTTCATTCATACCCCACAATTCTATGTTGATCGACAGTGACATATTTCTCAATTAGAAATATTACCCATAGCATGTATTGATTTGTAAATATACAATTTTATATTGTCATTCAACAGGTGTCCATTATAGCAATGCTTTCGTCCATTATATACTATCAATCAAATATCCCGAACTGCAAATATCAAATACTAAAAAGATACGCTCATTCATTGATACTCCAAGAAATGCTGGCATTTTCAATTTTCTACTTCAAATAAAAGGACCATGTGATTTTGAGGCAATACGTAAACATTATGAAGAAAATCTGACAGGTGCTCGGGAGAAAACGGGTCATTTAAAATTTCCCAAACTGCGTCAGAAGTTAATGAATTGTTGGGGTCACTATGGCTGGGTTAGAGATAACAGGTAATCGACTAAATACAAAATAAACAAATACAAATTATTAAAATATTTTATTTCTTACTTTAAACAGTTCCTTTAACATCAACAACCACATCATATTGAATAAAGCAACATATCGTGGAAGTCCTGTACATGATGGAAATATTCAGGATTTTGTTAGCACCTTGGTTGAAAAGTATATACCCTCGGATTTACCGCAGTGGCAGGTGATTGTTATTCCAATTTCATCGAACAAATCATTATTGAATGTGGAAGTTGCCGATGAAGAAACATCCAATGCACCTCAGGTAATATAACTATTTTTTTTCTATTCTTTTGGAACCAAATTCTACTATGCTCGATTTCTCCTCCGCTTTAGGAAGATCAACATTACTATATACTGTTGAAAATTCATCATTTGATCATTGCCGAGGAAGACGATTTACACATCAGTGAAATGTTAATGCTAAGGGATAGCAGCGAAAGACCAATTATCGAAATTGGCGAATATACCCAAAACATTTCCAAAACCAAAAGTCTCTCGTATTTCATTCGAAAGCCCGAACACATTGAGCGACTTTTGAAATATTTGATGCGTGTAATTGTCAATCAATGGAATAAATTTATATACGAATTTGAATCCCTGGAGACGCCAGACGATACGAGTGGCATTCAAATCACCAATATCAGTCAATTGTTTTCGTTGCTTCTGATTGTAGCTGTCAATGTTGTGATTAGCTATTGGAAAACAGCCATTGCAAAGAAGCACAAATCACATCGCTATCAAAAAAATTTATCGCAGACGGAGAGTAAAATCAAAGTAATTAGACGGCTCTTAGCCAAGGAGGCGGAACAGAGACATTTGTCCTGGCCAACGGCTAAATTTGCTATTCAAAATTCTTTACAACCCTCGAATCTCACCAAAACTTGGGCCACACTTGTCTGGAAGGCAAATGTTAACAGCATGCTAGCACTTCCCTATCGTATCTTCTGTGAAATTATGGCCCTTAGAGATTTACTTGTCAAAGGTGAGACAACGCTAAGCACAACATACTCGGGACGTCTTTCAATATTTTTGCCACTCTTGATCTATGCTCAAATGGAATTCCTAAGAATTTGTTATGAAATCTTTAAAGCTCCGGTCAATATATTCGAAGAACTTGTCCAATATCCTTCGAAAGAAGTTAATAAACTGCATAAAATGTCCTACTCCGGACGTAAAATCGCTTCATTTTCGAAACCAATCGATGCCCAAAAATTACGTAAACGTGTCGCCTTTAATGATGAAGTACGCGAATCCGACTATGTGCTATCCTGTTTGTCGGGTGCAATCCGAGACTATCTTGAGTTGTACTCGTCCGATGTAGCTATACCAAAAATGCTCAACACAACATGTCGCACAATTGCCAAAGGCTATTTCACTGACAATTTAGATGACAAATCCGATTACATTGGTGGGGTTGTATTTCTTCCATTGCCACTTAAGGTGCCAGATCATGGACATGCTCGTCAAATCCACTCGATAATAGAGCAAATTCGCCGTAAACAAGTCATGATTTATTTGGCCTCAATGGGGCAAACGAAATATGATATGCTGACTTCGATATTTCCCAGAGTTTTGACCAAAATATGCATCAACTACTTTTCATCCAATTTCCCAATAACAATCACTGAAATATATGGTGAAAGTTCAAGTTTCGAAACAACATGGGGACAAACGGTACAAGATGTTTTACTATTTAGACCACCTCAGTCGAAAACATGTGAGTATTTGATTATGTTTCTCTATTGAGGAATAATTTACTACTTTTGTTATTTATGTGTTGTAGGCTTGTCACTAAATGTACATCATTTCGGTGATCGCTATCGTTTGGCAGTAATGGCTGATACTCAACTGGGTCCAGATCATTCGAAAATTGTTCGTTCGTTTGAGAATTATATGGAAAGTATGACACTGTAAGGAATGGAATAAAAACATCTGTGATGATATGAAAATATTAAATTTATGTTTTTTACTTTTTTAAATGACGAAATAAATCTATTTTAAGTCAATCAGGTTAGTAATGTTTATCACTTCCTACGCCTGTAAATAATAAAAACTAGCTGAACCGAACTAGCTGTAGAAATATTATTTAGTAACTTTTTATTCAAATCTCAAAATGCTGAAAATTGGGAACACTTTTTCGTATGAAACATTTGCCACCCACTGAGAACCACGCCCAAAAGCCTCTAAATACCGAATATTGGAGGTACCGCTATATGGGGGCTACCAATTTTTGTATGAAGATTTGCCACCAAAATAAGAAATTAAAGCAAATTCGGTTGAAAAAGCCTCAAAATACCCAATATTATTTGTACCGTTAAATGGAAGCAACCAATACCAAACATTCAGGATTAGTAGAAATCGACATAGAATTTTATTCTGATCTAGATGGGGATTCTGGTGAATATTACAAGGTGTTGCAAACGTAATGAAAATTTTTATATAGACTTTGCTTTGGTATAAAAACATATATTGCATAGAAATTTTAATCAGCATACACAAATTGTTTTTTACCTTGTCAAATAGTTTGTGATCTATTTGTAAAATAGCAAAGATTAAAAAAATAATAATTAATAAATATATTAAATTGATTCATATTGTAAAAACATAGAATGCAAGAGGAGGGACGATTATCTAATAATTTGTGTCGATATATTTTCGAAGATCCAAAACTAAATCATGTAAGTAATGACCACCATATTGTCATAACCAAAACCAAATATAAAAACATTTAGTTTATTTCATTTCATCAAAAGTTATCGTCCTTTTTGTCTAAAAATCCAACGAGATATGAGAAACAGTTCAGTCATGACAATACATCCAGGAAGCATCAAATTAACAAGGAAATATCCAGTGGAGGTGATGCCGATCGCTCCACATACGATAATTATTTATTACAAAATGCTTATAATGACATATCTAAATTTAGTTTGGAGGCGGCTTATGTTCCTAGGCGAAAGCACGATTATCATCAAATAGACATTGCACACGATCCGTTGTGTAAATGCCAACACATTTCTGCTGACATGTCTAAAAGCACACAAAAGAAATCGGAAAATAGACGTCAAATACATGAAACAGAATCGTTAATGGAAAGAATTTGCAATCGTTCTGAGGGAAGTGAAAAGAGTCAAAGGTCATCTAAAACTGTTATTAGTCGCAGAAGTTCGCAGGATCTTAGACAAAGGGTAAGGTCACAATGTAAGCTAGCTGAAGAGGTATCAAAGTTATTAGAGACCACACAAGTTGCTCCCGTTTACACAAACTGCGATGAAAATAAAGAATCTATCAACATTCCTCAGAAATCGATAGAATGCGAACATTGTACACATATTGATAATAATGATGTCCAGACAGACATCCAGTCTCAACAAAAGGACGTCATGACCGAAATAGGTAGACACGATTTTACTGAAAGTTCGGCGCAGGACAAATTAACCATTACAGCTGATGAAATTGTCTCCTCGAAAGTAATTAATCCCATGATACGAAAACTACAACGTATGAGATTGAACAATTTACGGGAGGAAATGTCTTTAATGGAAGATTTGGAACGACTGCCACACAAAGTCAACGAAGTGTATAAGGCATCAGTGTCCCTGCCAGACAAGTAAAACGCCAATAGAGTTTAAATTTGCTGATAGTATTTTCTAATAAACAAAACATATATTTTGGATGCAATAAACGTTATTCAAACAATATAAAAAATATCTTAACTTTAATTAAAGTCCAATTTAAATCCCTTCCATTTTCAGCCGCTGCGATAAATCTCCTTGCAATTGTTCATAAACAGGACCATCATGTTGTAGCCTTCCTTGTCAAAATCGATATTTTCGCCACCAAAAAGAATGGCCTAAAAACAAACATACACAAGTTAATTATTTTTGTAAGCAATTGCACACAATTCTCTTCCCCTGTGCTTACCTCCTTAGCTTTTACGCTTGTAGGTCCCATTGCTTTTCCAATAACCTCAATCCAATCACCTGTTGTTGCATCTACTGAATCCGGAAGCTGAACTGTAATCTTTTCATCATCGGTGCTAATGCCAGTTAAGTTTGTACCGGCTTCATTCTCGACACACAACATTATGCTCACATTTTGTCCAGCAAACTGTCTTAGCATTTTGCCATTTACGTGGGTTCTTGCTTCGAAGGCCATTTTATTTACTATGGGTCCTGTACCTACAAAAACACTATAAATGTAGAGTAATGCAAAAGTTGTGAAATTGCCTGAGCTTCTCGGAATGTAAACAATGAATGAAAAGAACAGCAATTGCCGCCGAAAAGTTTGCAATTCGTTTACTGTTTGGTGGTGGGTGATATTCGATGGTAAATCGATCTTATCGATATTTTCTGTAAATATCGATTGATACATCGATTAAAACGGCTATGCTACATTTACATCGAACGAATTTTTTGAATATCCCCATTATTTGATCTGTTCCCGTACTGTAAGAATCGACTATTTTTTACTACAATAACGAATTTTCCTTTATGATGTCGAAGATAATAGTTAGATTCTTGCAGTACGGGGACAAACAAATTGTTATCATTGTACGATATCATGATTCTAATGAGATGCAAAACGGTTTTTGTACGAATAAAAGAAGAACAAATTATCAAAAGAATTACTGTGTTTAGAACGTATTTTCCAAATAATCGAAATATTACAGGAGCATTGCAATTGTTGTAATTTTTTTTTCATTTTCAATTTGCAAACAAATATTTTTGGCACAAGATGATAATTGTCATTATGATCATGTTTAAATATCGTTAATTGAGTCGATTTAAAATCCTTTTAATAACGGGTTATCCATTTCGTGGTTTAAAAAGTATGGAACTGGAATTCGACATCTGTCTGACATTGGTGAAAATGGATCGTTTATGCCATATACAGACGGGCGTTGTTGTTGTAAAAGCCATATTGCCTTTACACAATGAACTGAAGTGACAGACGTTGAGTCAAATTTGAATTTATATGTCGTTCTCCTTTATTCTATTACCCCCATACAAAATTCTTTGAGCAAAAAATGTCTTTTGCACATAGTTCAACTCGAATAACTCTCCAAACAACAATAAAATTAGTCCCATCCTTAACAATCGGGGGAATTTATCAAAAAATGTCAATCAATTGGAAATTTCATTTATGATATCGAAGAAAATAGTAAAATCGAGTAGATTCTTGCAGTACGGGAACATACTAAATAGTTCCGTTCCAGAGCCTAAAAGAATCTACCATGGTATAATAATTACAAGGTAGGGCACAGCTACCAACTGATTACAATTTTTTTCTCAAAGTGGCTTGTTCCATCAAATCAAAATACATATTTTGTGTATGTATTGTTTTGAACATAATGTCAAATAAATTCAAAATAAATTGAAATATATTCAAGTTTAATTGAAATGAAAATAAAGTTTTTAACACGTTCGTCTGAAAGTAATTACTTTGTTATTGATGAAACAAACATTTTATGGTATTCCCTACTATATTTTGGGAAGAAATCATAACCTTTCATTAATTTTTCGCGTTTTTATTTTTGTGTTGAAAAAATGTCAAATAAACACAAACACTTGTTGCGAATATTTATTTTGTTTTTGGCAGAAGAAGCCACACGTGCATAGTTGCTTTTTTGTTATTCACCTCAAGCTGCCCTACCTTGTATTATTGTACCATGGAGTCTACTAACTTTACAAGTTTTGCAACTTTTTACTCGAAAATCGTTCCTGAACCCACAAAACTGGTAAAACATTGAATCAAATTTAAGAGAACACAACAACAAAATGACGTTCTCTTTGTAATCTTTTTACTCGAAAAATTTGATTGAGTAAAAATGGTAAACAGGAATTCTAACTTCTAATTGGCTGTTTGTTGATTTTGAAGTATTGCCATCTAATTTTGGCATATTTACTAAATTTGAGTTCCCGAATTTTTCAAATTATTTTGAGAGCAATTTCGTTTCTTTTTTACTATCATTACTAATGAAATAGTACTGAAACATACGAAAATATTTCAGAAAAATTTTTAATGATGAATGAAAAATAAAAATGTGAATGGTTTTAATATACCTATGTATATCCATTGCATTTTGTTTCTGCGAAACTTTACTGAGTAAATGTTCCAGTAATATTTTAGAATCAAAGCACTCTCTTTACGGAAGTTTGGTGTAAAAAGACAACATTTAATAACAATTGTTACAAAATATCGAGTAGGCAGGGAGACTTAATATTAAAATGTATCAAAAACGACAACAGTTAAACAGTTTGGGTAAAAGCAATAGGGCTGCTACAACAACAACAACAACAACAGTTAAACCAAATAAAAACAAGTGAAAACATAAAGGAAAAGTAATTAGCCATAGATTCTATAGATTTGTATAAAACAAGAAGTTTTTTCATGTGCGAAATCAACGTTGTTAATGAGCCCGCCAGAAGATGTCATTATATTGGCTTTAGCTCCACATTGCAAACATTCTCGAAAATCTTATATGAACACATCATGATGAAAGGATACCGGAATGAAACTCACTGTGAATTGACCACAAGTCATCGTTAATCGGCATAACACATGAAGTAATCGATTTTCTAAATATTAGTGGAATCGAAAATATTTTCTTCAATCACTAGGAGAGAGTCTAAACAATTAAAGGATTTTTTTGCTGGTCAAATAAAATTGTTTATTTTTTAATACTCGAGTATTTTTTACTACTTAAAGTGGAAAATTATAAATCTACAAGTTTGCTAATATTTAAAAAAAGAAAACTTAAGCGAAAAGTGAGAATAAGAAGTGCTCCTTTCGATCGGATTTTTCGTAACTCAAAAAGGACGAACATCGATTTTTCTAAAATAAAAAAGGAAATAATTGTGGCCGGCTAGCCATTTGAGAAACGCAGACTGTTCTGTGCTCTACCAAAAACTAAAAAAAATCAATTGGTCACTGTTCTGACGGAGAAATGAGTAAGTTTTAGGTTTTATCAAGGAAAATGGCCGAATACAATTGAAATTTGTTAACAGGAATAATTGTGAAAATCTTATTGGAATGGGGGAGCAAATAAATATGTATTTAAAATTCCATCAGTAATGTGGAATAGATTCTAACCCATTACTAAATGTAATGGACTCGTCCCAAGTTTTAAGAATAATAAACAAACATTAAAAATTAATAAAAATGTATATATTTTGCATTTGACTTGACTCTGTGAAAAATTTAACCAAGTACCATGACGTCACTTGCCCTCCAACCACCCCCTTTGCATTGTAATAATATAATGAACAATGTTAACTTCCTTCATAAAAATGCTCATTGAAGACTTATGTTGTTTATCGTCATCGTCGCTACCTCAGTGCCTTGAGTGGATTTATGTCCATACACTTCTAGCACAGTGTCTACATTTTTTTGCTTCATTCTCATACCACTCGATTGTTTTTGTTTCTTTTCAGGTGAAGAGGAATGTGAAAAAATTGTTTTGGACTTGTCTCGCAAGCAATTGAAAAAAGTGCCAAAACAAGAAGAAGCCCAAAATGTACGTGTTCTTCTCTTGGATGAAAATGAATTACAAAAAATTGATAATATCGATTCATATCTTAAAATAGAAAAGGTACGTAGACTTACTTGTATGTCTGCTATCCAAGCATTTGAGACAACACTTGTTTCCGGTCTGTAATAATATTTCTGCATTACTTTTTTGTCTATTTCTTGCAGCTATCCTTGAGCAAAAATCAATTGCTACGCATGTATGGCATATGTCGTTTACATTGCTTGCGAGAATTAAATCTTTCGTTCAATGGGATTTTATCAATTGAAGGCTTGAAAGAATGTACCCACTTGCGCATTTTGAATTTGGAGGGAAACAACATTAAAAATATTGAACATCTAAATACCAACACAAAGTTGGAATATTTAAATTTGGCTGAAAATAGTATAGGCAGTATATCGGATATATCATTTCTAAAGTGCCTAAAGGTATGTTATGATTCTTTTATATTTTGCTATTATTTAAACGAGTTCGTATTTTTGATACGAGGTGCACATCAATTAAATATATTTTGAAAGAATATTGAAATATGTATTTATGCTTTAGACGAATTGAAAAATCACATATGCTGTAATGTCTACTCTCCTTAGAACTTTATTCTCACGATCTCAATACTACTGTCTATGCTTTCCCCTTGAGGAAGTCTAAAACAGAGTAAAGTTCTTCTAATAGGCCAAATAAAACAATCCATATTAACATTTTCAAAACACATATCTATGTACTTTGCATATCTTGTCTTTTTCTTGGATTGTCAAATCTCTTTCTATTAATGTATTTGTTTTCTTATTAAGTGAATAAACTAAAATGACATTGACCTTTGAACCAAGACTATGGTATTAAAAAACTTTCGTATGAGTATGTAACATAACTTTATTATTTTTCTTTTACGGCTCGTCTTTTACCTAATACATTTGGTGCATAATTGTACATAAACAGTGCCAACCTTTTTTTCTCACTTCATCTGTGCCAAATATAGTAACAATAATGTGTTGTGATTTAACATAGAAAAGTATTCTAATATGTAGGCACAAATACATATAATTGAACTTCTACTATGGGATTGATTGTCGATTATTGCACTTCGTTTTAATAATTCTTTTAATTTTAGGAACTATATTTGCATGGAAATCGATTAACACATTTAAGACAGTGCGATAAATACTTACCGCAATCACTGGAGGTTTTGACTTTGGCCAAAAATAATATAAGCGATTTAAACGAAATCTGTACATTGGCACATTTGAACAATTTGAATAGCCTAACTATTAGTGAGAATCCATGTGTTTCGATGACAGCAGGAGCTGAGTAAGTAACAGCATAATCTCCAAACAATTTAAAGCTCTTATGAAATATATTTCAATATTTTAGTGGGTTTGACCATAGACCATTCGTTTTGAATTGGTGTTTGAGTCTAAAAGTTATCGATGGTTTTGTGGTAGATCCCATTGAAAGGTAATACTTTAGAATAGGATCCACGGGTTGTTTATTGATTTAATAAAATCATTTTTATTGCAGCCTTAAAGCTGAATGGCTGTATAGCCAAGGACGTGGTCGTAGTTTCCGTTTGGGGGAACAGGCCGCACTTGCTAAATATTTGAGTTCTGTTTGCCCTTTAATTGGAAAAGCATTAGAAAATGAAAATGAACGCAAACTGCGATTGATACTAAGTAAAGCTCAACATCATCAGCGTCAACTGCAGGAAGAAATATCGGAGAACTCTAACGCGTCAGCGAATAATTCACCGTCATCGGGACGAAAGAAACCTGCAAGTCGTATACAATCACCAAGATGTAAGTAATGCAGAGTACGAAGCTTATATTTCTAATAAAATTTCTCAAAACTTACAGTTTCACGTTTAAGTGGTCGTCAAGGCTCACCAGATTCTATGGTTAATAGTTATCATGGTAATACGGCCAATGATCGTAATGAAGGTACGTTATAAGGAATTTTATTATTTTTGAAAAAAAATCATAAATGTTTTTTTTTTTATCGCAGCAAATCATGCTACACAAATGACAACATCACTGATCGAAAATGTAAAGAACTGCGAATCAATAATGTCACAAAGTTTGGAGGGCTCAAATGGTAATAATTCGAATGCAAAAATGAATAATTCACAGGAATCTACACCACGTACAATAACTCCAAATCCGTATAATGGTAAGCAATCGGTTCATATTAGGGGGTCGTATGAAGAGACAACAATTATTTTTTCATTATTTTAAAAACCTGGCTTTCGACATTAAACTCAATTTTCATTGCAGAACAATCATATGCAAATCAACCATTAAGTGGGGGACCTTTGGCGGCTGCATCAAAAATGGTACCCGTACCGGAAACGCTTATGAGTCCAGATGTTTGCCCCGCCTCAGTGGCTCAACGGGTAACTGTCTCAGCAATAAATACTCAAATACAACAAACAAAAACTAATAAAAATAAAGGTAAGTAATTGACATTACAACAGTGTATATTTTTGTAAAATTCAATGGGGAATATATTATTTTTTGCATTTAAATTCTTACCCTTTACAATACTAGATAATCGTTTAAATTCACCAAAAATGCGCAGTCCTCACCTGAAACGCAATACTGCGGAACGCAGTCCAACAATGAGTCCAAGAAAATCCAATACAGTTGCCAACAATTCGAATATTCACCAACAAATGTCCAATACAAAAATGATTTCAAATCAGCAGCAACATTTGGAACAACAACAAATAAAGTCACGGCAATTTGTCACAAATTCAATGCATGTTGCAGCTCCAGACGATTGTTCAGCAGGTGGTAGTTCTGACGATGATAGTGATAACATCAATGTGGATAAATTAAAAACGATACGCAATAAAGCAGCGCAGAGGTAAGAAAGTTATATTTTTACATTGAAATAAATAATTGAATTAAATTTGATGTATAGGTGTCAACAAATGAAACAGAATATGGAGAATTCCAGTTTGAATTGCAGCCAAGATACCGAATCATCAGCTGTGGTAATACAAAAAATATGGCGAGGATATCGTACACGCAAAAAAACCAAGGACATTGCGGAGAAATTACTTAAGCGAAGGACGCATGAATACATTGAGTAAGTTCAGATACTAAATATATATCGGAGACATAATAATATATCTTTCTTTTCTATAATTAGCAAATTAACCAAAGACATGGAAATGACAAAGGCCCAACTGGAAAATGAACGCAAAATTCAGCAGCTTCAAATGCAGGCCATTAATGCGCTTTGGAAAAAGGTTTCTTCAATGCAAAACACAGTTGTCACAACTAACCCAACCCCGGCAAATGCAGATGCTGTCCATGGAGATCAATCATCATCGGTAGGGTCATCGTCATCTAGCAATGTGGTAGTCACACAACCAAATACATTATGTTTAGATAATAGTTCAACAACGGTGGTAAATGATTTAGCCAAGACATGTGGAATGCTAACAAATCAGGTAAGGAGGGTATTTTAGTAAACTCACTATGAACGAAGGTAGATGTCAACAATGTAATTTGTTTTTTTTTTCTCTCTCTCAGGTACAACAATTGCAGGGTTCAATGAGAGATATTTTAAATTGTCTCACATTGTTCTGCAATTTACCTCAAGAGAACGTAAAACGTCTCTTGACTGCCGGTGTAGCTGAGGCTTTATCCCAAACAACAAATCCCCTCAATACCTCGAATAGTAGCGAGAAAAAAGACTCAGCAGCTACACAAACAGAAATAGTGGCAGTACACACGCCACAAATGGAGAATCAAACGAATTTCCCGTTTACAAAAGTGCGCCCTTCAACCTTAGCCTTGTTGGAAGCTCAAAACCCGACTAACAGTAGTGGCACGGGTAATACAGCGGCAGTTTCGACATCTACAGACATGGACCAACCATTGGAAACTCCCACTAATCACAAAAGACACATGCCGCCGCCAGATGAAAGTGGGGTATGCAGTGACGATGTCCGTTCGTATGATTCTGTTTCAATATCCGAGAAACAAGACGACGATGAGAAACATAATTTACAGTTGAAATCCAGTGGCTGAATTTGAATGCCTGAAATAGGGAATTTTAAACGTGATATTCTACTGTTTCATTTCATTGTAAAAGCATTGCAATACATTACCAACTCGACAATTTTGTTAATTCACTTTAAGAGTTCACTCGATATCTATAATTGCAAGAAAAATCCGTTAGGTACATAAGTCTTATGTATCGTGTGGAAATTTGAGTTTGTCATTTTATTCACATGAATGAAAACAAAAACGAAACATTCCCTTGTCCTTTGTAAACACGCACTCATTCTCTTACACTCTCTCAGGCCTCCTAGTCATTTGCTCTTTGTGTCTTTCTCACCAAAGGCTTAATTAAATAAGATCTCATAGTATTTTTACATACACAATTTCACAAATTATACTGAAATAGCAACAGTAATTAGTATTATTAGAAATATAGCTTTTGCATCTCATAGAAAATACACAAAACAAAAAAGAAAAATGAAAAAATCAAATCCAATGATATCAATATGTCTCCTTCACACGAAACTAAAAGAAGAAATTTGCAACCACCAACTGTTCAGTCACTAAGGAGAATTTAAAAAAGTCTCTGCCGCCACCTCCACCACCAACACAAAAGCATTTTAATCTAATATTTTAATAAAACAATAAATAATAAGTTTGCAGTGGAAACGGTTTTGATTGAAATTTGCATCTACTAAATTAAAATTTTGAGTATTTACATTGCAGAATTGGTACATAGTTTGAAAAAAAAATATATATATATATATATATATTTTACCGGAAAATATGCAGCAAAGAAACATTATACACTCCATTCATTTCAATCAGTCATATTCTAATCGTAACAGGAACAACGAAACTTCAAAATATATTTATTTGATTTTTCGTTTTTGAACGCATCATACGCCAACAAGATATGTCAAATTTGTCCAATTTCATTTCGGTTTTACTCAAGAATTATGTAAATCAATCGAATATATTTATTTTTTATTGAATCTCTATCTAGATTGTAAGATATATTTATATTTAAAATCCAACAACAAAATATACACACAAAATTACTCATTTTTAATTTTGGAAAATTGCAAATTACAGTGGAAAATAAAATTAATGCAGCTTTAATAAATTGTAAATGTCTATTATTTTGGTCAAGAGTAGGAAGAATGGTTTAAAAGAAGTATTGATCTATTGAAGCACTCATATATTTTATTCCTATTTGTAGGTACTTTACTCCAGTACTGTATTGTTTCTGTAGGATTTCCGACTTCTCATTTAAGGCTATACCACGATATTTATTTTCGGAAATTTGAAGACTCCCGTAAAATATAAATTGCAGTAATTCAAATATTACTAGAATTATTCGAATCATACAGGTAATAAATAAAAATATATAAATATCCGAAGAAGTAGATTATATTTGGAAAGGCAATGAACAACAAATTATGCATGTTGAAAATGATTTATTTATTTCGTATTAAAATCATAAACCAGTTTATAAAACTGAATGTTCTAAAAGGAGTTTATAAAACTGAATGGGCGTGTAAAACGATGTAATAAAAATTGGTTTGGTTTAATGATAAGATATCTAAATCGACTTATTAAGAAGATCCATTCCGCAAAGATCCATTCCGAATGAAGACACTATCCACTCGATTATTTAAGAATATATCTTATTTAACAACTATTACATTTAACATTAAGATTGTTGCTCACATCATATCACCCTGGAACTATTTTATATGCCAATACAACATATAAATTTCAATGTTTATTCTTCTTCAGAACTGTCTTCCTCATCATCAGTATCACTGTCATCGGAATCTTCAATTATTCTAGCAGCTGGCCGATTCATATTTGGTTCAAGATCATCATCGTCATCCTCTTCTTCGTCTTCAGACGAACTTTTTGGCAGATTGGTTTGATAATTGTCTTTATTAGATTTCATGGCAAACCTGTCCGGCCACACTCCAGCCTTTTTATATTCCTTAATGTGTTCTGGTGTTAATATTTTGCATATTTCACCTTTTACCTTGTCGCCCTCCTCAATGGGTTCCACTAATATGAAATCGCCACGTTTTACCCAGACATTCTTGCGGAATTTATTGGGCATAGTAACTGTAAAAGAAGATTGCAATTAAATGATTAAAAGTCCTAAGAATACGTTTAAATTCCATACCAAGAAACCGTTCATCATCCACATTGGCGGTTTCCACCTCATGTAGATTATTGCCGCGGCTGCAGACCACTCGAACAATTTGTTGATTATCTTTGGGCAGCTCGTAGTCGTCCTCCATCATCTCCTTGAGAACATGTTTTTGGCGTGTAACTCGAGACATCCTAAAATGTTTCCAATGGAGGAATTACAATGAAGAGGAAATTTTGGAACAAGCCCATTGCACTACTCACTTGTTTTCAGACGTTGGTGCGTTCAGGAATTTAGATATTTTCTAGTGCTTTCAAAATATTTTAGTTGTTTTTGTATTTTTAAATTCATTTAAGTTAAAAATGAAAATATTTTTTGCAGTACTAGCAGTTACTGCTTAGTTCCTGGGAATGCAATGACAATGTGCTTTGGTTCCCTAGAGGATGCGAGTGACGCCTGCAAAAATAAAAAACGTTCCACCTGCTGTAAATGGGTGAGAAGAAAAAATTGCCGATAAAGAGGGAACTCACAGAGAGGAAAGGAAAATTTACGAATGAGGTGTGATGGACACCGCTTAAGAAGAGTATTGTTGAGAAAGAGGCATGAGAGAATTGCCGATTAGGGATATCGCAAGTCGGGTATGAAGGCGGCACTATCGATAATTGTTCTTGTGTCATTGCTAACGATTATTACATGACAACGATAATAGGTCTGCTCGTTTAATATTCGGACTACACAATAAAAAATTAAAAAAAACCTCAAATGACACGGATATTCCATTTTATACTTAGATGACATATCCTAAGATTAGGATATGTTATAGGGACAAAACAGACCAAATGACACAAATATTCAATTCCCGTACCAAAAAACTGGCAAAACATTTCAAAATGTATAAAAAATCTAAACCGATGAATGTTATGCTGATCTTAAAACATTGTACTTTTGTTTAATATTATGAATGATGTGTATGTATGTTGTTGTTTTTAGAATACCTTTTCGCCTAGATTCTTTAAAATGCCGGTGTCCACCATTTCCAATAGTGTGGGTTGTGACAGCAATCCAAGAGGTACCTCACCTCCATATTCCATTTTGAACTTAGATTACATATCCTAAGATTATGATATATATAACACAATTTTAGATTATGATTTTTTAGATAGGAACAATCACATCAGTGACTATGTTCCCTCCCATAATGACTTCGATGACGGTAGACTAAATATTACCAGCTGAGAATCCTGAGAGAGAAGTCACTAATGCTGGTGTTTACAGTAAGGAATATAGCTAATTCCTTACATATAAACTTAATCTTTGTAGCGTTTTTCAGGCAGAAATCCCTGCAAAAAAGAAAAAAAAACGATTTTGCATAAAATGCGTTTTAAGTTTTCAATTTACTCACACTTTATATGGGACAGAGGAACTTCTACAGCTTCTCAGTTAGAGTGTGTAAGAGATATTCATATTCATTTTTTACACAACATGACGTCTATTATAGTGAACAATCGTGCATCATTAACTTAAAATTACTTTTTTGAGTTATGCCTCTCTTGCAGCAAATGAGCGAGATGTCGATATATGGGCAGCTAGAAACAACTGAACATATACTCTGTGGATGTCCATCGCTCATCACATCACTCATCTAACCCCATCTTCACTTTGGACCCAACCTTTTACAACCTAGAGTCTAACTCCAGCAGAATAGATAAAAAAACGACCAATGTTTGTAAGCTTAAAAATTTATTAAAGTTTTGAAAGCAAATAGGAATACAAAAGTGATCTCTTATCGTATATGTATTTACTATTATTTTTCGTTTTATTTTCACAAATTAACAACCCTTTTTTAAGTGCTATGAAACAATGAAGTTAATCCCATAAGGATGAGGATATGAGCCCATTCTGAGCATGGTTCTTCTTCTTTTTCACTTCACAACTTCATATGAGTACAATAGATCACACGTACGCCTATACATAAATACAAAATGTTTGTCAAATCAAGAAAAAAAAAAACATTCAAAATCAACATATAATTTTGTAGTATAGTCCCACCATCCTTTCACCTGATTAAAGTACGCACAACTATAAGGAATATTTGTGCTAAACCATTCACTGCAATCCACATATCCACTTAGAACTTATTACACGATTCAGTTATTATTACTATCTAAATATTTAAATCTAACTGTTTTTTACCGAATAAAAATTTTGATTTAGAAAAAAATTGATATATACTTAAACAATAATAACGCAGTTCAGTAATCAGTACTCGGTACTACAAAAAAGTGTGCATTTCCGTTCACTTCATTTTGATTGTAAGGCAATTGTTAAATTAAGTTTGTTGTTCCTTTTGTAACTACTGGCTAGGTGTAGGTCTATTTGAATATAATTAAGAATATTGATGATTATAGTTAATATCGGTATGTAGGCAATTTTTAGGAAAATAACATCAACAGCTTCGTCTATTTTTTGTTGAGACGTAATATACGCTCCTTGAGGCCTCCGGGTTTCACTTTTGTAGTTTTGACAGTTTTGCGCGATTGTACATCCTTGGATTTCTTCAATCTGAAATGAAAGAAATATAAAGATAAGACATTACAAAAATATATTGTTGATAATTTTTGTGTTTGTGCTATATAAAAATACTGACTAAACTGATCCCTTAAAATATAATTTTATAAAAATTTAACTACAGATTATATTTAAATTAGAACTTCATCTACCTTATTAAATATGACCGTAATCGGGTATATTAACATCATAAAAGTAATTATTGACCATAATTTCTTTAAAGTTTTAGAAATATATAGGTCAAAAAATCTTCAGCATTTGTATTTTTCAAGAGTCCGCGAGGCAAAAAATAAAACAATTGTAAATAAAATCGGCAGTATCTAAACATTTCTTGTCTGCAATCAGTGGTAATTATATACGCTAATTATATCTAAATGTTAATAGATCCTAATATTCTCATATTCAATACAATTTTATAGAGATCTACTTAAGTAGGAGGGCACTTAGTGTTTAGCCCTGCCGAACATAATATATAACAACATTTAATACATATGTATATACAAACTACTTACAATTCATTCCATAATATAGCAATTTCCTTCTTCATTATATCCTTAAAATCGTTTGTAAAATTGGTCCAATTTTCAAAAAATGTTTTGGGCGTACACGATTCGATTGTGCCAGTTTTCGGTGCATAATGATAGAATTTCATAGTTTCCACAAATATATCACGACAATCGTCGAGTTCCTTGTACAGCTTTTCGACGACTTTTGTTGCATGTTCAATGAATTCTTCCATTTTCGATTTGAATGGTTCCATATTTTGGGGCGTAGAATTTGAGATGACTTTTTCGGTAATGGCTTTAGTCGCTACAGAAAATAAATCACAAATAAACGAAATTAATAATATTCCACTAAAAATGCTAAATTTTGTACTTACATTTAAGTTGTCGATTCAATTCGGATATCTGCCTTTTAACCTCATCAAAGTCTACCTGACTAGCGCGCTCCACATCCGATGGTTCTGGAATGGGTAATGGGATCTCCAACAGCTGTACACCTTCCTTCCGTTTGCGACTGATATAGGTCCGCACAATGAAATGCAATAACGTGGTATGGGACTCTTTTGATTTGACATCTTTCAGTTTGCCTAAAATTTCCAAAGTGAAACCATCAGCCTGTCCTCGTTGGCGATTGCCGCCATTCATATAATTGCCCAGCGTTAAGATGATGGCGAAGAGCAATTTCAATTCTTCACTTTCCATTAGGAATTGCGATAAATGCAAAACAACTTCCAGTTTCCGTTCAATGAGAGTGGCACATTCCTCAAACTCAGCCATAAACACTATGCAGGATATACGTTCGGTTGACATGGATATTTGTGAGATTTTCAGCAGAAATTGTTCGGGATAATCTAGGGGGATATCACTTTGCGCTGCCTCCTTTATTAGCTCCAATTCTTCATTTGTGGCCTTTATGTTCATAATTTGCTGCAATGTTTCCAGGCTCACAACTGAGGTATCCACGTGATAGATGGCATGCTCAATTTCGCAAAAGTCAACATGGGAACTGCGCGATATGATGCCCACATTTTGAGATCTCTTACTGTCCAGCACCTTTGTGTGTCTCACACGTACTTCAGTCTTAACTTTCGGCTTGCTTACCGGCACAACAGCTTCACGTGAAAATAGCTCGGTGAATTCGTCGATATTATCCAGACTTGTTTCATCGATTTCCTGCCAGATCTCTTTCGTTGACTGGGGCTTATTGGGAGCGACCGGTGGATCATCGGGGGAACTGGATGGGCTGGAATCTGCCTCATCTGAGCCAGAACCTGAAAAAGGCAGAGCCGGTTTGGGCGGTGGCGGTTGCGTCACAATACGAGTCCAGTAGAGAGGTTTCATGGGTTTGGGTGGATTAACGGCAGTCTTTCGTAGCGCTATATGATGGGTAGTTAGAGGAATTACTGATAGTTAGTTTAGATAGGGATCTTTGGGGAGGAATACTTACTGTTTGCTTGATTGAACCAGCCTCCTTCGGTAGGGTTGGGTAGTGGAGCGGGTGTTGATGGAGTTTTGGGTGGACCGGGCGGTGGTGGTGGAGGAGTTCCACCGGCTGAGGTGTTGTGATTATTTGCGTTAGGAATAGTTGAATTAAGGCAAGGAGGAGCAGGAGGTGGTGGCGGAGGTGGTAGGCCAGGCCCTGAAGGAGGTGGTGGAGGAGGGGGTGGTAAAGATGTACCAGGCGGCGGAGGTGGTGGAGGCGGAGCCGGTGTGGATGGAGACATAGGAATTGATGGTGGTGGCGGAGGAGGTGGCGGTACCATTGACGAACTGCCAGATTCTGTTTTACTATTCGCCTTTTCAATTTCTTCCAGAGAAACTTGAATTTCTTTTTCACATGTTAAATCATCTTCCCTCGTATCCCTTTTACATTTACTACATACAAATTGGCCATTTTCTTCACCGTCATCAGTTTGTACACCAACTTCCTGTAAACTGCCAATTTCTATGCCCGAACTACCTTCGCTAACATTCACATTCTTGTCGTATTGATAGACGGTTGTTTCGCTGGCATTTAGTAGTTCCGTGAGTTGAATGCACCGTTTTGAGGGTTTTCTCAGCGGTTCACCCGCTGCCAGGAGATCATTAACGACGACATGAACTTCGGCTATTGTCGAGCAACTCAATAGCCTCTTTCTGAGGAGCTGTTGAAACCCGATTTCTCTTTCAGGTTGTGGTGTATCGACTTGTATGCTCTTCGGCACGCGAGTTATGCCAGCTGGTGTGCTACAGTATGGCCAAACGCTGACCTTATCCAGTTTCCCTGGAGTGTGTGGTTGGGAAGTTGTTGGAGCTTCGGTGTGAGTCCATTGGTACATGTGAAAGGGCTGTGAAGACACAGGGGTAATTAATTAAAATATTGTATTGAATTTAATAACTATCAAGAAAAAATATACCAAATTGCAATAAATCTAATTTAAAATTGTTCATTACGATAACACATTACGTTGGCGGTAAAACATCTATTATTTTTTTATTGTCAAAAATATCATAATTATTCTCAAACTTATTATCGTTGTCATCTTCATGATGTTAACTACTCCACATGTTATTTGTAGACTGGATGATGTTTCCCAATTTTCCGTTGTCACTGTTATGATTCTAATATTGCACCAATCGGGGCCAATAATCATAACAATTATGAATGTTTCACAAGAAATTAACATTAAGCTTTATTGGCTGTGGTAAAATGCCATGCCAAAGCCCCCTCCTCGTCTTAGTTACAGAGACAATTTCACATCTCCATAACTTCCGTGAATCGTTCGAGGATAATTTCAATGATGCATAGACGAAAAGAAAGAAATCAGCAGAGCGGGAGTGAAGTTTGGCATTAAAGTATAAATGAACAAAGTTTTGTTTATGGCTGTTTGATTTTTTATCCTCTCCAAATCCTGTGATGATGATGATGCTGCTACGGCTGATGATGACAATGAACAAAGACGAGGACGAGGACGAAGACGACGACAAAGACAATGTTGTCTGAGATGTTTTTATTGCCTTGCCGTTGAGAGGGGAAGACATTGGGTGTAGAGAGAAGTGATTCTAATGTTTGTGATTCGGCAAACATATGTTTCAATAAGTCAATTTCAAGAGGGGGCGATAATACTAACGGGAATATGGAATATGTTTGTCATTTCAGAGTATTGATACTGGATTATTATTGTTAGTTATTGTGTGATTGTGTATGATAGTTAGAAAACTTTTGTCAAATAATACGTACTTTAACCATTATGATGATGTGAAATAATTTTAAGATAACTAAAGATATTTGTAGATAATATTTTTAGTTCCATTTAAACGCCATTCCAAAATTGCAATTTGAAATCCATGAAATAGATTTTCATTGACATTTTTGTTCATATTTGTATATAAAATTAATGAAATTCAATTATATATTGAACTAGCAAGGTACCCGCCACTTCATATGCGGAAAGGGAATAAAAAAATATTTCATATGGAAATCGTGAATACCGTATAATTAGTTGTACTATAGTTCTGAATTCCACCTCTATTCCTACATTTAATATCAAGTTTATTACCATTAATTACTCTTCATACACATAAGCACTATTTTCCGAAATCCACACTTTAGCAAAAACGTACAGGTTCCACATGTAATTCCATTTAGAACTTTTCGAACACCCGTTGGTCCTTTTTTCTAACTCTCTGTCAATGACCAACATTCTAAATTTTAGGTTTCCAGCTCTCTCCGTTACCCAAATTCAAATTATTCCAAATTTAGTGAATTTTCTATTCTATTTACTATTGGTGCACATAAATTCGAGTTTCCAAAGTTGTCTCCATAGCTCAATACTACACTTCAACAGTAATTTAAGTTCCAAATCCCAAGATTCAACCAAATCCAAGTTGTTTTAAATTTAGTACCATATTGTAATTCTTATACTCATAGGTAAGAATGTCTAAAACTACATCAATCCTACACTTTAAAAGTAATCTTACTTCCACCAAAGTCCGAACTGTTCCAAATTTAGTGATTTTCGTACTCATAAGTACAAATTTCCAAATGTACCTCAATCCTTCTTTCAAATAGTCCAAATTTAAGAATTCCAGCTCTGTGTGAAACCATTCCGCACTTTTCGTACCCATATACCAAACCAATCTCAATATTCCAAACTTTCTTTCAATCGTAAGTCCAAATTTAAGAATTTCAACTCTATCTGTTCACTAAACTGTACCATATTTGGTACCATTCTGTACTTTTCCTGCACTCCCAGAGTAACCTAAGTTGCAACTTTCAGGATTCGAGTTCTACCCATTCACCAAAGTCCAAATTGTACCAAATTTTTTGGTTGTCGTACCCAAAGTACAAATTTCCAGAAATACCTCAGTCATGCACTCCAATAACAATCTTATGTCCACATTTAATGATTCCAGCTCTATTCGTTCACCAACATCCAAATTGTACCATTTATTACTTTTCGTAGACGTAAGTATGAGTTTCTAAAACTGCCTCAATTTTCCACTGAAACAGTAATTTTATTCATTAATTTCAGGATAACAGCCCTGTCTCTTCACATAGATCCAAATTGTACCATATTTAGTACTTTTCGTACTCATGAGTTCGAATTTCCAACACTGTCTCAATCCTTTGCTATAAAAGTAATTTTATTTTCAAATCCAACCATCTCAAATCTAAATTGTAGTAAACTTAGCACCATTTAGTACACATAATTACGTATTTTTAAAACTACGTCCTCTACCTCATCCTACACTCCAAATATTAGGATTCCCGCTCACACAAAACGAATTGTACCATATTTAGTACCAATTAGGTCTTCTCGTATCCATAAATACGAAATTCCAATACTTCCTTAATCTTGTTATTTTATTTCCAAATTTACGTTTACTATCTATATCCGTTAATTCAAATTGTACCAAATTTGTTTTCCATTTAGTACACATAATGACGAATTTTAAAAAATTACCAACATATCTCAATTCTGCACTCAAACAGTAATATTAAATCAAAATTTCAGAATACAGCCCTATCCGTTCACACATTTGTAAGCTTTTCGGTACCATTTAGTACTTTTTGTTTCTATAATTAAAAATTTCGGGAGTCCAGCTCTATCCGTTCACACGTAATCAAGTTGTACCAAATATAGTACTATTTAGTACACATAGGTCTATGCTTCCATATCTCAGTTCTATATTCAAACATCAACCATTAGTCCAAATTATGGGTTTCTCTCCGTTCACCCAAATCCATCTAGTGCCGTTTAGTACTTTTAGTACACATAAATACGAGTTTCCAAAGATGTCTCTCTTCAACAGAAATCTTAATTCCAAATTTCAGGTTTTCAGTTCTATCCTTTCAGGCAAAATCCAAATTGTACTAAATTTAGTACCATATAGTACCTTTCGTACCAATAACTACGAATTTCATAATCTACCTCAGTTCTACACTCCAACAGTCGTTTTAATTCCCAATTTGAAGACTTCAGCTCTATCTGTTCACCTAAATCTAACTTCCACCAAATTTAGTACCATTTAGTACTTTTCGTACAAATAGGTACGATTTTTAAAGCTAATTCCGATTATCAAGATTCCATCTCTACACACTCAACTGAATGTAAATAGTACGAAATGTAGTACCATTTTTCAGTTTTTATACACATAAATACGAATGTCTTAAACCATTTCCATACATCAACACCACTTCCCCACCTGTATTCCATTTAAAATGTCAAGATTCCAGCTATATATGTTCAATAGTACCTTTCGTACCAATAACTACGAATTTCATAATCTACCTCAGTTCTACACTCCAACAGTCGTTTTAATTCCCAATTTGAAGACTTCAGCTCTATCTGTTCACATAATTCTAACTTCCACCAAATTTAGTACCATTTAGTACTTTTCGTACAAATAGGTAGGGGAGAGGGGGGCACCTTTGAACGTGGGGCACCTTTGAACAGCGCCCATAAAATCTTGGTTTAATATTTTTCCGACCCGCAACCACATTTTTGTATATGGCAATCTTGTTCTCTATATGCGTAAACCACTTTGGCTTGCTTTTTCAGTTGTCGAAAAATTGTGCATGGGTGACCATGTTTTCTCAGTGTCATTGTAAACTTTTATTCATTTAGTTGTAAGGGCGCAGGAAGAATTCTGTGATAGTTTTCTTTCGTCAAACAAATTTTTTGCATTCCAACAATCATTTCAAACATAACTAATGTAATTTCTTTCATATATATTTAAAACAAAAAAAGTTATTTTAAATTTGCGTAAAATGCCATGGGTGGGGCACCTTTGAACATGCCCATTAAGCTCGAGTAAAAAAAGGAGTTTTTAACTTTTGGCTTCGATTTCTCAAAATTTCAAATGGGCTAATAAGATTACGAAATTAACTGTATTTTTCATCATATTAATTTTTGTTTTTAAGTCATTTTATGTTTTAATAACTTTTGATCTAAATTTTGAAAATTTTTTATATATTTTTTAATGAATTCATGCATTTCTGATATGTATAAATAAAATGCATACATATTTGAACATAAACACTGTAAAAAACCACGTCGTTCAAAAATGCCAACCTCTGTTCAAAGCTGCCCTGGGGGGCAGTTTTGAACACTTTGAGTTCGTCCATTAAAACAGTAATAAAATATATTTATAAAGCTTATAGTATGTCATATGTATATTCATTTTAAAGGTTACATATGTACCTATTAGTTAAAATTTATAAGAAACCAAAAATTATAAAATAAAAAATTTTATAAGGCTTGAAAGCAAAAAGTGTTCAAAGGTGCCTCCTCTCCCCTACGATTTTTAAAGCTAAGTCCGATTATCAAGATTCCATCTCTACACACTCAACTGAATGTAAATAGTACGAAATGTAGTACCATTTTACACTTTTTTACACATAAATCCGAATGTCTTAAACCATATCCGTACATCAACACCACTTCCCCACCTGTATTCCATTTAAAATGTCAAGATTCCAGCTATATATGTTCAATATATATACAATAGGAACTAAATTCAGTAAAGTTTAGTACCTTTAGTACACTTATAGGTCGAATTTACAAAAACCCTTTTGCACATCTTTCTAACTTTCCATCAGTGACCAACATTTCAAATTTCAGAATTCTAGCTCTTCCAGTTCGCTAATAAAAAGGGTACTATATTTGGTACATTTTAGTACTTTTCGTACCCTTCTACTTCTAACAAAACTTCCTGCATACCCCGATCTTACACCCCCATAATGATTCCAAATTCAAATTTAAATGTACCAAATTTTGTACACAGTAGTACGAATTTCCAATACTTCTTACTGAACCCACACCCCACAGTTATCCTAAATCCA